CCTAGTAATCCCTCCCAAGAAAAGGACACTTGGAAATGGAAATGTGAAGCTATAAAGAAGAAGTGCTCTACTCTTCAAAAGGATCTGGTTGGGATGTAGAAAGAGGTCAGGCGTGTTGATTCTCTGTGATAGGAGGTAAAGACATATGTCTTCCCTTCTAATCTAACTTCCCGGATAACTGAGTTGGAGGTTGCTCTTAAGGTGGAGGAGAAGTGTCTTTAGAATGACTCTGATGCTCCTGTAGAGTAGAATTGTAAGGTGGGTAAGGATCAAAAAACTCTTCATTAAGTAGTCAAGGTTCATGTCAAGGATCTTAACACTCTTGAAGGAAAGGTTACCAGTATGAAGGACACGCTTTAGGATTCCCTCAAATGGACCATATTAAAGACGTGTTTGGGGTGTCTGGCCGGGTTATGGATTTGGAGAAGAAGTTTGTCCCCACTATCGAGATTCATGTTTAAGAGTTAAAATCCTTCCAGGTTGCTCCCGAGGGGATTCAATATGGGGGTTCTGGTACCTATGCCCCATATTCTTTTGCTTTACCACTTCTTTTAATTTGTATTGTTTTTGTTCCTGTAGTATTTTCCAGGCCGTCGTGCCTTGGATCTAACACTTTAATATTTATACAAGTATTTTTACCTTAGTAATTTGTCCCTTATTTAGCTTTGAGTTTTGTACTTCTCTCAATCTCTTTGTTGTTGCTCCATTTCAACTTTGGTTGTTAGTAAGTTGTTATCACGCCAAGGTTTGCTTGGCATCTATGCAATGAAAGGTTTATGGACCTTCGAGCTCGGTAGGGGTTTATCTATGAGTTGTAAGTCCGTGCCTTGGAATATGCAAAGGATTGTATGCTTAGGGTTGTAGAACCCTGATTGCTTATTTTGAAGAGAAATGAAATGTCTCACTGTGACAAGGTACTTGATGTTCTATTCAAACTTTCTTGACAACAATCTTCGTCATTTATAATTAATGCATTGAGGGTTATTTGGTGGCCATATTTGTCTGTTGTATTTAGAGTTTGATGGCATGGTGTACTTAGCATTTGTTATAGTAATGTACTTCTCTACACATTGTATTTAGTGTGTTTATTGTGTGTTCCCCCACTTGGGTTAGTCATCATCGAGAACGACGAGATGCATTTCTATAGATCTAAAAGGGGAAATGAGGAAGGTTGCACCAGATGTGCATAAATGCATTTAAGTCGTATAAAATATGCATAAATACATGTATTATATATCGGAGACATAATCATGCGAGAAATGCGTTTAAGTCATATCAGATACGCAGAAATGTGTTTAGTGTATATCGGGTACGCGAAAGTGTGTGTGGTATTTATCTCCTCTCCTTTAGGGTCCTAAAGCGCCCATATCCATCATACTCAGTTGACTTCTTTAAATGGGACCGACTCAATTTTTTAATATATTGCACTTTCAAATTATTTAAACAACTCAACAATTTTTAAATATCCATCCAATCCATCAAAAACTCTAAAATTGGCCTCATTAAACTCCAAAATATACACCCATATAATTGTTGCGACTTGAAATATAATATTTTAACATTATTTAAATAGGAAGGAATTGGAAAGAAATGTTCTCAAATGAGAGAACATATGCAAATGTAGACATAAGTTAAGTCCATAGATAATTATGATTTAAGGAGACATAGACATAAAAGAATACAATAGGAGAAAAATAGTAGACAAATATTTTCATACATAGTGAAATAAATTTGTTACAGTGAGACAATGGATTAACTAGATAAGTAAACCTTTATTTATAACATTGTTTTAGGTTGTCTCTAGGGCTATGACCGAATCTCTTGGGGTTGATAGTATGGTCGGACGAAGGTGAAGTTTCTTGAGAGGCTCGTCCTTTGACCCTTACGAAAGTAGCTTGTCCTGCTCTCTTTATGATAACATTTCTAAGGATCGACAACGCTGGATGGAGGACTAGAGATAATTACCTACTAGTGTTTCCTTTTGAGGAGACTTAGTTTACTTGCTACCATAGTCTAGGGTCGTTTCCCTCTGTATGGTCCATGAGTTCCATTTACTATGATGGTCTGACCATGGCAATTTGGTAGTCGGATACTCTGGGAAGGCTGATGACTCTCAGATAATGTTGCCTACATGTCACCTCGTCCAGACTTCAGCCCATGTAGAAACTACTACATGTACTGGGAAATCTGGGGCTGAAGTTTGTTCAGTGTTCTTACTCTTCTATCATATTTACGCCTGAACACCTCTATTTCTAGATGTAACGCCCCAAAGTCGCATGGAAAAGGAAGATTGCTAGAAGATCGACACTGAATCACTCGCACATCTAGTATAAATTAAACCAAGCGACAAGGAAAATATGTAGCATGGTCGGCATGTTCCATCATGACGTACCAGATCTGGACTAAAGAGATCTCGTCCACTGGCCAAAGATCCTTTGGTACCTATAGAAAGCACTTCAGTATTGGATATAAGTCGGTTATTAACCGTGAACTCGTCATATCTTTGACGTCGCCATAGTAAGTATCACATCAGTGGAGAAATATAGAGGAAATGTTATATGAGAAGATAGACCGTGAATATTCAGTGTTATCTTCAAGGAGACTGCCTTCACTTTCCGATAATTTCATTGTAGATCTGAATTTAGATCTAGGATATTTTCTTCTTTTACGGAGTTCCTGAGGAAATCATAGGAGATATAAAAATATGATGGATCATAGTTGAAACGATAGCTTGCTGGATCAAATGTGATGTATCCTAGCTTCGGATCCTGATTACTCTTGACTTGATTACTTGGGAGGTTGTGAACTGGTAAATCGGAGGCTAGATCTTAAATCATGGAAATCATAGGAATTAGAAGCCTTTCCCAAATACGACACAAGTGTTTTGTTCAGGAACCATAAATGGAATTAGTTAACGAATTAGGTGTCTTAAATTGATGGTTCTGATATTGGTCACGGCGGCGCGGGGTCGACTTGTATGGTTATCACTATGACACTTAAGTCAGTTCATGATTCAAGATGAGTATAGTAAACAGTGAAGATCAGAGAGTGTATATTATTTATTGGATGAACTAACTTTTATATCTTAGATCAAGTGAAGTTGATTTTAGGTGAAGTGGGCCTTAGCTATTTAGGCATTTGGCCAACCCCGAGCATGCTACATCCATTAAAAACTAGTTAAGCTACATTAGGTTACATCCTTCATTTGAATCTTTCTATATTTGGTTTGTAGAGTGTGGGTTGGGGTTTCTCACTGATATGCTAAAATCCAGATTTCAAAATATGTATTCACCCTGTTGAAAATATGGATTTCAAAATCCGAACCATAATACGGATAAAAAAATATGTATTTTTATGTTTTGTATTCTTTATAGAAGTATGTTTATTAATTATGTTTGCAAATTATATGTCTTTTGTGATTATAGAAAAATGGATGACAAATAACCAAGATCTAGACATAATCGACAATCTCAACATGCTTCAATCCGTAAGAAAAAAATTTAAATCCTTGCGAGTAATTGGAGAATCATCTCCGGATGCTGAGAAATTTTCTTCACATGGTCATGTATGTACTTGAGCGAGAATTGTGATAGTTCTGGTATCTGTAGGTTATACCTAAGGAACATTTGTTGCTCCTGCCATTGTCCTTTGTAGAGATGTTGATGAGACAATTGTCGACTATCATGAGCATCTTGTACTAGAGGATGTACATAGTATCCCATCTCCCCGTCCATGGAGTATAATATACAAATACATCCAATAATTTTATAGAGTGTCTCATCCTTATATGACTCTTGTGTCAAAAGGGGACCCCCTTAGGCCAACTCGTCAAGTGATACTAGAAGAGAAATATGCAAGGGTGAACCATATCATGGATGTATTGTCTATATGCCACCTTAATGTTCATGTTGATAGAGATGTCATATCTAAATGAGAGTTTCAGAAAGGCACTATTGAGAGAGTCACTTTGAATGTGATATTGTCAAAGACACGATTTGCACTACTGTATATGAGGCGGAGGAGGAACATGATCGTTAGATATACTCAATAAATATATTTTAATTTGTATTTTGATATAAACATCTTGAATGATTGATTTATAAATTATTTTTGGTTTATGACTAATGTATGAATAATGTATGGAATGATGCGAAAGAATATGTTTGGATTTCCATAAAATTTGAGAGCTAACAAACCACGAGACAATTTAGTGATAAATATTGATTTAGAGACAATATTCACTCGATTTGGTTTTTAAAAACACTAAATATTATTTTTTTAGGCAATAATAATTTCTTTTTTATAGATGACTAATTTGAATTTCATATTTTAAGGAATTAAATTATAGATCTTTACTCTTAATAAATTAAATTTTCATCTAAAATTTTCTCATCCTTCTTTTCTTTCACATACACAATTAAATTCAAATAGTAGGTGTCCCGATTCTTAAGACTACTATATCTCCTTCCCTCACACCCACTACAAAACTTGCCACATTAAAAAACTCCCAAAATTTTCATAATGCTAATTTTTATTTAAATCACGAACCTTAAAATAAGTTTTCACAATTCAAATCAAAATACTAAAATTCCCTTAGAAATAAATAGATATCCACCAATTAATATTTTTGTCCTAATTCACCTTAATAAATGAGTTATGTTATTTGAATACTAAAATTTAGATACCGTATTTGACACCGCATACAAATTGTATACTATTATCTCTATCTTTCCTACTTTTTAATATCATATAGTTGTACGAATTTCAAATATACATAAATACATCCTAAAATTACAAAAAAAACACCTATTTGACACCCAATTTTAAATGTACAAATATCATTTCTCTAATGAATCAACCGATATAACTTCTTTCCATGTCTTGTACTATGATGTATCCCTCAACCCTATTTATATGGACACACCTAGAATGTTTTTCCTCAACCTCTTCACACTAACCTCAAAAGAATCTTAAAACTCTCACCAAATATACCAACAAAAATGACAAGAAAATCTCTTGTTTCTTCTTTGGTTCTTTTGATTGTTTCTTTCGTTATAATTCATGTTTATGCTGAGAATTTTCATGTTAGGAAAGTTTATAATGGAAACCATCATGAAAAAATACGTAGATTGTAGTCATTGAAAGTCTCTTTAATAAGACATGATTCCATCGCTTCAACTTCTTCTTCTTTCTCTCCTTCTCATTCACCTTCTTCTCAGCCAAGTGAGGTAAATTCAATCATGCAAAACTTTGAGCTTTGGTTTTTGTTTAGTTGTAGGGCCAGTTGCACATGGCCTAAAATTTGTCACGATTAAACCTGCATTAAATAGAGCTCATAAAATATTTATGATGTTTAAACGTGGTTAAATATGGTCTTTATTTTTTTTTAATGATGAAACTCATACTAATCTACACAAAATCTCCAAAAATTTGAGACGATTTGTTCTAAGTTTTGTAAAAAATATGAAATGTTTGATATTAATTCATGTCATGTAGGGTATGAAAAATCCAAGAGTATTCCATGTGACATCTTATGGTGCAGACCCAACAGGAAATTCAGATAGTACTGAAGCTATCCTTGTAGCCATAGCAGATGCATCCAATGTTCTAAGTGAATGACATTTGATGGAAGGCATCAACAACCTTGGAGGTGCACAAGTTAATCTTGAAGGTGGAAATTACTTGATCAACCAGTCACTCATGCTTCCGGTATCCGGCATTGGTAACCTCATGGTATGTAGAATTAAAAACTATTTCATTCGCTAACTTACTTCATACACCATACTTTTTGATTATATAAATTGGATATATATACGCGCAACTGTAAAAACTCTCAATCCCGGTAAGATCACATAGGCTGTAAATCCTTCAATATTGTCCTTTTTTACTAAATGAAAAGCATCTACCAAATTTTACATATCCCTTGTTATTATTTGACAATTGGCAAGGTCTTAAGACTTTAAGGATGTGCTATATTTGATTTTTTTAGACAAAGTAGTCTCAATTTAGCATATTTTAGTAATGGTGGTGAAGTAGTTGGTCTAACTAGAACAATAAATTGAATATGACTAGTTTTTATGTTTGCCAATTCTACCCTTTTGACATGTCAAAATGATTTGAAAAACAGATACATGGAGGAACATTAAAAGCCTCAGATGATTTTCCTATAGATGGCTACATTATTGATTTATGATCAACCTCTTATAATGAAAAGGATTCCTACAATTTTGAGTACATAACTCTCAAGGATCTTTTATTAGATTCAAACTTTAGAGGAGGGGGCATTTCAGTCATAAACTCACTCAGAACAAACATAGACAACTGTTACATTACACATTTCACAACAAATGGAATTTTAGTCCAAAGTGGTCATGAAACATACATAAGAAACTCGTTCCTCGGCCAACACATAATCGTAGGAGGCGATAAAGCAGAAACTAATTTCTCAGGAATAGCGATAAACCTCCAAGGTAACGATAATGTTGTCACAGATGTTGTAATTTTCTCGGCTCAAATAGAAATCATGGTCACTGGTCAAGCCAACATATTTTCTGGTGTACATTGTTACAATAAGGCCACAGGATTAGGAGGGACCGGGATTTATTTGAAATTGCCTGGTTTAACACAAAAAAGAATTGTGAACTCTTACATGGATTACACTAGTATTGTTGCTGAAGATCCTGTTCAACTTCATATTTCTAGTAGCTTCTTCCTGGGTGATGCGAATATTGTGTTGAAATCTATGAATGGTGTCTTAAATGGTGTTACTATTGTTGATAACAAGTTCTCTGGATCAAATCAAGGTGTTGAAATTGTTCATTTGGATAAATCAAATAGTCCTTTTCATCAAATCGATCAAGTTATTGTTGATAGGAACATTGCAAGAGGAATGAGTTTAAAGGCAACGGTTGTGAAAATGTCTATGCAAGGGAATGGAACTTTATGGATTGTTGATTTCAACAATGTTCTTCTTTTTCCTAACCTTATTAAAAATGTTCAGTACTCATTGAGTTCAATAGGTAGGAGTTTTCCTAGACATGCGATTAGGAATGTGTCGAATAATCGCGTTGTGATTCAAACGAATAAAGTGGTTACTATGAATGTTTTCGTCACAGTGGATCAGAGTATGGTGAATTGAAGATGTTTGAATAAAATGGCATGAAATTAAGAATAAGAAGTTATGAATTGTGGTTTAAAAGGAAATGTGCATACATTTGTTTGAAATGCTTCGTTACAGTAATTTAACAAAAAAAAAGTTTGAGATGAAAAAACTGAAATTAAAAATTCTTACAAAAAAGTAAGAATGATGTAATAATGTGTAAAACAAAATTACCTGCAATTGATTTTAGATATTCTCTTTTTTTTTTTTATATTAGATCTGAGTCATTCATTTGATCTATTGGGCTACTCATGTAAAGTACATGGGCTACAAGTCTAGATTTTATACTTTATAATTTTTTAAATAAAATTATTTCAAAACTAAAATTAATGAAATTATCAAAAACATTTAATTATTTTGTATTAATTATTGAAAATATTGATAAATTTCTAATAAAATTAATGAAATTATAAAAAAAAAATTTATTATTAAAAATATTAATAAAAATAATTTTAAAAATAAAATGATAAAATTTTAAATTTTAAATATTTTTAATGACGTGGTGCCACATATTTTGGGCCACGTCAGCTTTTTAGGTGCCACATCCACAAAAGTTGAGGGGGACTAAAAAAACCCAAAAAGTATAATACAAGGATAACAAAGATGGGTTTTTTTTTTAAAGAAGGACTAAAACGTAATAAATATTTAAAAAGGGGGACCAAAATTGCATTTTTAAGCCAAGAATGTAAGTTATTTTTAATTTCCAGCAAAGTTTCAAAATTGAAAAAATAAGAGGAAGAAGGGGTGTCAAAAGAAATAAAAGAGTAGGGTGAATCTAGGGTCCAAGCCCAACTACGAATTGTCTCAAGAAATATAGACGAACTTCCAACATAACACTGGAAATAGAGGTAAAATAACTAATAAAACATGTGCAAGTTGAGTCAAATATACAGTGTGTTTTAGCTTTATCAAACTCCCCCACACTTGAACATTTGATTGTCCTCAAGCAAATCCCGTGCTAACAAGAAAAACAGCGGTGCTCAGATAAATATTCTAGGCTATAGACTTTGCTTTGGAAATGATTGTATCAATAGGTACTAACTTGAAAACTAAGGATATCGTAACAACACATTATGCATTTGCGGTCATAAGTCGCCTTCCTATACAAACCAATTTCCATCATGCCATTATGTTTAGGCCAAACTTACTCATCTTAATTTTTGTCCTTTTTCATTCATACGCAATTACACTAAGACCATTATTAATACATACTCATAGAAAGGCGACTGGTTAATGAATCTAATCCTCTTTATTTGCACTGGGTTCCGGTACTTAAAGCCGTATAACCTTTTTGTTTACCCAATTGCAACTAGCTGAAGCGGTAAAGAGGAAAACAAAAGTAAGTATTTATTTTGACATAGGTTATATTGTAGCGTTTCCACAGGGATTAGTGTTATATGGTTGAATCAGGGCAGCCAGGTAAGTCGAATGGCTTACGAATATAGTCCAGTTATTAAGAAGAATGGAACTTTGACGGTTTGCATAGATTTTAGAGATCTAAATGTTGCGATCCCAACGGACGAATACCATATGCATGTCTCTGAAATGATGATCGATTCATCAAAATGTTTCAAATACTTAAGCATGCTTAATGGTTAATCTAGTTATAATTAAATCTTTATTGCATATAAGGATGTGCCGAAAATGACATTTTGTTGCCCAAGAGCTTTAGACACCTATGAGTGGGTAGTGGTGTCATTCGGTTTGAAAAATGTTAGGGCTACCTATTAAAGGGTAATGAAATCTATTTTTCATGACTATATTGAAACCTTTATGCAAATTTATATTGATGATTTAATCATTAAGTTTGTGTCAAAACATGGTCATCTAGACCATCTTCGACAATCATTTGAAAGGATGAGAAAGTATGAACTTAAAATAAATCCTCTTAAATTTGCATCTTGTGTACAAGAAGAAGATCTTATGGGTTTCATTGTCCATAAGAAGGGCATAAAAAAATAAATCAAAATAAAATGAAGGTAATCATGGAAACAAAACCTCCTTCGACCAAAAAGGAACTTCAATCGTTGTTGGGGAAATTAATTTCCTAAGAAGGTCATGTCCAACCTTACTGGTAAGACTCAAGCGTTCTCGCCATTGCTACGAGGGACGAGTGGAAGAAAGCTGAAGGCGAAACACATGCAAGTGTGGACGTGTCACTTTCTGAAAAGAAGTTTGTTCGTTAAAGTTATTTAGATTTTATTATAAATATGGATTCTAGTGATAGATTTTGTGTGTTGACAATACTACAGAAAACTAAATATAATCAAAGTATCTAAGCAAAGTGAGAAAAGAGTAACATCGTGTAATGTATGTATTCAAACACCATATTTTATCAATTCAAAGTCTTTTATATAAAATTTTCTTTCAACACTTTACTTTCTATCAAAACCCTTTATCGTTCCTGCACCTTCATTTAATATTTCATTCTAGTTTAAGGATTTTGTTTCAATCGAAGTCCTCATATTTTAAACATAAAACCATACAAGTAACTTAAGAAACTTTTGGCATAACATGTCCTAGGATAAATCTAGTTGATCCTGCAAGAAACCTTTTTTTCTTGGAAGACTAGCGCTTGTTTACCAAATTTTACGATGAATAGTATGTTGATTCAATCATGAGCACAGAGGGAAAGGTTTTGAAAAATATCACGGAATCAAGATGACTTCAAAACATATCTCAAACGACAACTTTATCATCACAAAATTTGTACCTCAAAACATAGTCGTTGTCTTCCAAAAGCTTCAACAGTTGTTGCATCTTAGATCTTCGTCCTCTTACCGCCTTGTTGTATCAAGCACGAATATTATATATTTGCTTAATATTTGAAATATTTAGAGGTATTTTCCTTTTAAAAGACACATGTATGTGTTTCGGTGCCACCATATTTAATATCATGTTTGAAACAAGTTCCCTTCCTCCACAACAAGGTGACATATAATAAGATAATCGGCTATCATGTCATCCAAGCCATGATTATGCATATTGGAAATCACCTTAAATTTCCATGTCTCATCCTCCATACAATAGTCGTGCAAAATTGGAAATTACATTAAATGGACACTCACATTTCCTCGTTCATGTTTCATCTCGTTTCAACTTCTTAATCTTTGGTTGGTAAGTGCCACTTCTTTCGTATACCATTGTTATAAATGCTTGTATTATATCTAAACCCTTTTCGGAACTTTAAATTACAATGCCAAACCCCAGTTTTCCAGCCTCCCTATGGACCCATTGCATCATATTTTATGAACAAAAAACACTTCTTTATTTGTAAATTATGCACGGACATTTACCTCTATAACGACTGATTGAGCATCCAATTTAACATCATCATTTGAACGTCATCATTCACTTTATCATGCTTAACATCATGCTTCACTTTGACCGGTTTAACATCCACACTCACAATAGCTTTGAGAAACATATACAAGTGCAACATATCTATTACCACCAAAAACTAGGGATGACAATTGTACCCATCCCCAACTGGTACCCTAAAAAATCACCCATAACATGTAGGATAAAAACTTGCAAAATGGGTACGAGAAATTACCCACAAAAATAAACGGGTATGTGTGTAGGTACAAGTACCTTAGAACCTAGCCCGCCCCATACCCATAGAATATATATTTACATATTTTGATTATTATTATTATTATATACACATGTATTCTTATCAATTTTATTAAATATATCTCTAATAAACTTGTATGCATTTTAATAAAAGTCTTTTTTTAACTCAATAATAAATTTTAATAACAATCTTTTTTTTAACTCAATAATAATATTCTTAAAATTTTTTAAATTGTTAAAAACTTAAAATGATATGATAAACTAAAATTGATCGACAAATTTTTTATTAGAAACGCGGGTAAACGGGTACGAGTACAGGTACTTAGGTACCCATAGGATACGTGCATAGGTACAAACATTGGTTCCCACGTGGGTATGGGTTTAGGTACGAGGATTTTTTTCAAACCGCAGATATGGGGACGAGTACTATGGTACCCTACCCAGATCCTGCCCATTTCCATTCCTGCCAAAAATAGAAAAACAATGTGAAAATTCAAACTATCAAGACAATCTGGAGATGCACTTCTGGACAACCTATAATTTATTCGGAGATGCCTCTCTAGACTTAACATTCATTTTTCAGCTTCAGAAATGGATTAACGCAAGGAATGATGGATGGAAAGAATGATCTATACCTGCAATTCCATCTTGTTTTGCTCTTTTTGAAGTGATGAAATACAAGAATGATGTTTTGATGTTGAAAAGATGATTGAGAATGAGAGAGTTTTTTGCAATGGTTGCTTGCTTTAACATGAAGAATAAGCTCATGCAAGGTGGTGTTTTATCAACCTTTCCGCTGGGCATTTTTGAAGATGCATATCTAGAAATATCAGAGTTGTTTTTAAATTCAGTTGCGTAAATAACAAAATACCATAAATGAGTGCATGGGTATTTCAGATATGCATCACCGGATATGCCTAAACAGTATACCAAGATGCATCTCTGGACTATTTTTTTCAAAATTGGAATGAAACCCATAAAAGAGAGGATTTGTGTGATATTGGATGCGTTCGAAGATATATTTCAGAGATAAAAGGACAAAATTAGATTTTTCAAAGGTTTAGTATGCTCCCATAAGGATAGAAAGGACATTTCCACTTTGAAAGTTAGTTCTGATCATTATATCTTAGAACTCTATACATTAGATGATTTGACCAAAATATCTTTTTTAAAATAAAAGTGAAATTGTAAATGTAAAACTAAATATTTTAGATTTTTTAAAAACAATATTGTAACATTTTGAAATTGTTGTGGAATTGTTCGGATATTTAGAATTTTTTTTTTGCATTTTTATATGTTTTATCATATTTTTTCCATAGCACTAAAATATCTGATACAAATACATAATTCTATGTATTTTTATTGAATTTTTAAAAGATTGACACTAAATATTACTGTATTTT